TTTTTTTTTTTTTTGAGATGTGGGTTTAAAACCAGAAGCAAAACTTCCACAAAGAGTAGGGAAATGGGGCAAAAATAAGAGAATTGTCTTTAGCTGTTCCTTCAGATCTCTTCGATACGCAAGTCTACAATTGAGAAAATGAAAACCATCCCCAAACGTCCCAAAAAGGTGAAACTATACTTTTACAGTATTGGTTAGCCTGAAATGGAACACTTTGATTGGCTAAGAAGACTTTTACTCTGCTAGCCACTAAGGAAGTGCGAGCCGAAGCTATTATTTATGTGGACTCCACCCCCTTATGACGACATTGTTGGAAATTAACCAATGAAAATGCAGTCCCTTGCGAGCCTTCATTTGCATACAGGCTCTATAAGTAGCGCGTAAGCAAGCCTTTTGGAAGTAGTCCGGATCGTTTCTGGAGTGTGGCGTTTCTTCTTGCAAAAATGCCTGATCCAGCAAAGTCGGCTCCTGCTCCCAAGAAGGGTTCTAAGAAGGCTGTTACGAAAGTACAGAAGAAGGACGGTAAGAAGCGCAAGCGCAGCCGTAAGGAGAGCTACTCCGTTTATGTGTATAAAGTGTTGAAGCAGGTTCATCCGGACACCGGCATCTCCTCTAAGGCTATGGGCATCATGAATTCCTTCGTCAACGACATCTTCGAGCGCATCGCTGGTGAGGCCTCCCGCCTGGCGCATTACAACAAGCGTTCGACCATCACGTCCCGGGAGATCCAGACGGCCGTGCGCCTGCTGCTGCCCGGCGAGCTGGCCAAGCACGCCGTGTCCGAGGGCACCAAGGCGGTCACCAAGTACACCAGCTCGAAGTAAGGGCGCGCAAAGGACGTAATAGGACAGCTACTTTACCCCAACGGCTCTTTTCAGAGCCACTTTATTTGTCACACTAAGCGGCTGTAAGCACTTGCTAGAAGATGTGGCTTTTGGTTAGGTGGGGTGGGCCTGTGCTCTCCGAAACATTTGGGTTTGGGGCCAAGTTAAGACCGTGATAAAGATTGCTCTGGCTGTTTAAAATCTGGAACCTCCTATAGTGCGGTGGTGTCACCTAGTGGCATGACTCTTGGTAACAATTATTCCTTAAAATGGTCTCTACCTAGTTCTGAGTCTGACATGGAAGCTTAGACACAGTTTAAAGTTTTTGTTTTTGGCGGGGGTTGCTGTTCTACTTCTCTGCCCTTAAATGTCAACGCTAGGTTTTTCTTAAATAAGCGAGCCGGAATGTTTCCCTTAGTGTACAAACGAACAATCCCTCCGTCCCTTACTCCCCACCGCATTTTAATGTTCTATTCGTAAACGTTTCTAGGTGTCTGTCACGAACGATACGCAATAAAGCCAATAAAGTAGTCTCTTTGGCCTACGTGTCTCAATCTGTCCTTGCTTAACTTCCTAGCCCAATCCTTTAACCAGGTAAAGATTTTTGCCTCCTACCCCTTAGGACGTTTAGTAATATCTGGAGACAAAGTTTTTCTCTTGGAGAGGGGTGCTAACTGGCATTTAGTGGATAAGGGCCACGGATGCTGATAAACATACCAAAATGCATAAGACAACCCCCACGGCCAAGAGTTCCTTCTCTGTAACCTCAGTCCTTGCAGGGCCAGCTGCCTGACCCAGCCGCCAGACTTCCCTTACGTGAGGATTTGGATTTAATTCTCATTTGGGTCCAAAACTTCCCTCCACCCCACCACCTAGTCAATGTTATTTTGCTTTTGGTGAAAAGCTGAGAACGCAGATATACTGTGATTACTTACATGCCACAGGAAAATTATCTTCTCCAGGGCAAGGAACTTATCTTCTCTTAAGTTTCCTGGTTATATAAGAACCACCTTGGTGCTTGCTAAACACATTCCCAGGTGCCTCTCCTGGAGCTTCCTGATAAAGTCAGGTGGTTTTTAGTGTTCTCAGGTGTACTTAAAAAAGTTGGGGGCGTATGATGTGCCAATGGCCACAGCTAACATACGAGATGAATTTCTAAAGACCCCTTAGTTCAAACTTGCATAACTCAAGACAAATCCTGACAGAGGCTGGTGAATGTTTTACCAAACCAAAGGTATCCTTAAGGTAAAAGAAAAAAATCTTAGTTTCCAGTTATCAAGCTTTAAAATTAAGCCATTCTTGATAAATGTTAAGGAATTTGACAAGTTTGTGCTTAAAATGAATTTTATTTATAATGTAAGAGTTCAAATTTACACCCAATTAAAGTTAATAAAATGGGCTGTGTATGATTTCTTTCACTGGAAAATGAAGATTTTTCTGAGTCATTTTCCCTGGCGAGAGGAATGACTCACTGAGAATTTTATTTTCCCAGTGAAAGAAAAATCATTATGCAGCACATTTTATAGTTGGAAAAGTTAGTAAGTGAAAAGGCCAGGGTGTCTATCTTCTCCATCAAGTTATCAGACCATCAGAGACATCATCTGGTCTCCTCCCCTAAGATCCTGAAGGCTCTCTTCTCCCTGAGGACTAGCGAGTGACCCTTATTTCTCATGGTCTTTGGAGGTTGTTAAAGCATTGTCAACTGGCTCACCTAATCGAAAGCTAGCATTAATCACTCATGACTGAAGGATTAAGCCCCAACACCTTATCCTGAAACTAAAGGCCTTCTGCCATCTCACCAAAACTTCCCTTCAGTTGCTTGTTTTCCTCAGATCTGTAGCAGAGCCAAAATGCAGTACCCACTGTCGTATAATGCCTCTTAAGTTTCTAGTCCTTTGTGCTTTTGATAGGTGGCCTTCTAAACCATAGTACTTTCTGTTGCTCTTGCAACTGCTCAAAGCCTGTCAACCTGCCCGTTCTTTAAACTGTTGCTCAAATCTCGCTCCTTGAAGCCTTCCCATCCCATTCTAGGTCACAGTAGTCTTTCTCCTTTTAACTCGTAAGGCTTTCTTTGTTCCTTGCACAATGAATCTGCAATTAACTGTAGCTTTGTGAACTGGGTAGTCTTTTTACTTAATTTCTTTTTCATTGTTTTTACATGTTCTTGTTTGTCTTCTAATGGAAGACAGGGTTTACTTAAAAAAAATACTTATTAGAAACTTCCACAAAGGTTGTTCTAGAGTCCATTATAAAATAGCATCTCAGGGGCACCTGGGTGGCTCAGTTGGTTAAGCAACTGACTCTTGGCTTCAGCTCAGGTCATGATCTCAGGGTCGTGAGATCAAGCCCTGAGTTGGGCTCCATGGTCAGCTGCTGAGTCTGCTTGAGATTCTCTCACTCTCCTCCCTCTTCCTCTGCCCCTCTCCCCTCTCGTGCTCTCGCTCAAATAAAATCTTAAAAAAAAAAAAAAGTAGCATCTTGGTGAAAGTTTGTTGACTGATTGCCCAGACCAGAGAATGCTAGAAAATTGGTCTGAAGGTGGTAAGTTCATGTACTACAATAAGCTTTTTTTCCTCCACTTTTCCCTAAATTTTCCTGCTCCTTTAATCTGAAACACTCATTTATAATAATTATTGACCCACTTAAAAACAACTGTTGGAGATTAAAAACTCCTAAGAGGGGCAGATAAGAGTACTGCACTTGACTGCTTCCTTTCATCCAATGTATCTATGTGGCCAAAATGATGGGATTCTACTGGAACTTTTTCAGCCTAGTTTGGATGCTGCTTTTCCAGTGTTGCAAGCAAGGGTGAGGAGGGAGATGCATTCCAGAAGATGAAAAATGTTTGTGGTATGAAGATAAGGAGCTTTATATATCAGATCCAGTGAGCATTGTAAATGGGCTTGGTCTGGGTCAAGTCAAATGTCATTAAGATTGGTTAGTCATTATTTCAAGGACTAGGGAATGGATTGTGGTATCTATATACACTTACAAACATGACAGTTTAATCTTGTCCTAATTTTTAGACAAATGCCTCATTTTAAAACTGGGTGCATTTCCTAAAAGTGATCTAAGAGTCAAAACACTTAAATTCAGGGGCGCTTGGGTGGCTCAGTCGTTAAGCGTCTGCCTTCAGCTCAGGTCATGATCCCAGGGTCCTGGGATCGAGTCTCATATCGGACTCCCTGCTCAGCGGGAAGCCTGCTTCTCCCTCTCCCACTCCCCCTGCTTGTGTTTCCTCTCTTGCTGTCTCTCTGTGTCAAATAAATACAAATCTTAAAAAAAAACTTAAATTCGGACGACATAATTCAAGCACAGGACAACAGTTGGGAAATGTTATACGATCTCTTTGAGGGGCATAAAGTAGGAGTTATGAAAGAATGTCAATCTTGAGGAAGGAACAAGACTGTTTTGGAGAATTACCAGATAGTGATTTTTTCCTACATTTTATAACTTATAGCTGAGCCATCATATGATTTGGCAAAAATAGAAAACTTGATAAAAAAATTCTAGATCCCATACTGCCAACATGAACAAGCTTTTGAAATATAAAAGCAGGATGTGTTTTCTTTTCATGTATAATCAAATATATCAAACATATAATATTAGTAAAACAGATGGATAAAAAGATGTAAATAGGGGCACCTGGGTGGCTCAGTCGTTAAGCGTCTGCCTTCGGCTCGGGTCGTGATCCTAGGGTCCTGGGATCGAGCCCCACGTCAGGCTCCCCGCTCCACGGGAAGCCTGCTTCTCCCTCTCCCGCTCCCCCTGCTTGTGTTCCCTCTCTCGCTGTGTCTGTTTCTGTCAAATAAATAAATAAATAAAATCTTTAAAAAAAAAAAAAAGATGTAAATACATCTAATAGAAGGGATTACACCAGTATAAAAATAATTACAATTCAAGGCAAAACGTGTTATTCCCAAAAGAGGGGCTAAGAAGGAAATGTTATGAGTTAAGGAGAATGATAGGTTGCATCTGGCTGGAGGGTTCAGGAATATTCCATGAGGAGAACTTACATGTGCCAAGTCCTATATGGGTGATGGGGATACGTAGGTGTCCTCCTTCCCAAGTCCATGAGGTTCCTCTGGAATATTGTTTGTAACCAATATATCAAGTATCCTCTGGTAATTTTTTTTAAGTTTTCATTTTATCCAATTTTCTGTAACCTCTTCAATTTTTCTGATTTTGGTAGATGAAATTCTCCATCATTCTATATTCTGTGACTAGAGGTCATTAATTCTGCACCCTTCATGCAGGTTGTAACATTTTCCTTTGACTTTAATATATCTCTTTTAAAAATTGTATTTTTTAATTAAAATTATTTATTTATTTGCCAGAGAGAGAGCACAAGCAGGGGGAGAAGCAGGCTCCCTGATGCGGGACTCAATCCCAGGACCCTGGGATCATGACCTGAGCCAAAGGCAGACACTTAACCAAATGAGCCACCCAGGCATCCCCTTAAATATTTTATTTTCACAGACAATTTTATGTCATTACATTGAAAAGCTCTGGCTGCCCCTCCTGCCTTACACAACAATTCAAGTCACATTGTTCTTGGCTCACAGCATCTCAAACCTGTTGAAACTTTGTTCACCATAGTCCTAGCTTGAGAGAAATTTGATTTTATTGTTCCCTGTGAGATTAATTTTCTCTGGGGAGGTGACTATGATAGGGTGAGTGAATAATAAGCCTTTTCTTAGTCACCTATGATTTATCAGAAAATATTGTTGACTCAAAATATGTCAAGTCTCCAACCACACCTTGACACCTCCATGGCTGCCCCCTGCCCTAAGCCACCGCCACATCCTCAGGATATTTGCAACGGCCTTTGGACTGGTCTCCTTGCTTCTGCCATCTACCCTCATGCTCCGTTTTCCACAAAATAGCCGGAGTAAACTTCTTGAAACATGAGTCCTGTTACTCCCACACTCTTCTCCCCATTGGAACACCCCCCCACCACCACCACCACCTGCGCCAACCATGGCTTCAGAGTGAAGGCCACATCCTTATGATGGCGGGCATACACCTCCTGTCTTCCTGCTCTCCCTTTTGTTTGCTCCACTTCCTCACACTCGTCTCCCTGTCCTTCCAGAAGATGCCAAGGCCCTGGTATCTCAGGGCCTTTGTACTTGCCATTTCCTCTTCTGGAAAGGCTCTTCCCCAGATACTTACTGACTGGCTTCCTCATGTCTTTTAGGTTTCTGCTCAAAGGATACCTTACCATCTTGTCATTGAGGACTTCCTTGAGCAGCTTATATAAGATAACAAGCCCACTTCTACTTCCCCCAACTTCATGATACTTTTTATTCCCCTACCTTTCTTAATTTTCCTCCATGGACCATCTGATACTAATGTGTTTATTTATTACTGAATCAGAACCTACCAAAAAAAAAACTATTCTTACCTGCTTACTGTAACTCCATGCTTTCTGGGTGCAAGGCTTCTCAATTAGAGGCTACTTTACCAGCTTCTCTTGTATCTAGGTCTGTCCATAAGACAAAGTTCTGGGCCAATGAGATGTGACTGGAAGTGAT